TTAGCTTTTAATATTGTGTTTTAATTACCGTATTTCTCTGTGTATAAAATGACACTTTTCCGTAAAATAATTAGAGGAAAAATTAAGGGTTGTTTCATACACAGAAGGAGGCAGTCGCACATGCGCTTGAGCACTTCTTGCTGCCATCGCTGCCCAATTGCTACTTCCAGAGCTCACGTCTTGTCCCCTCCAAGACAGCAGCAGCAGGAGGAGATGGAGGCTCAGGTGCATCTTGCTGCTGTCAACCATGCCTGCCTGATCACCTCCTCTAGTGGAACTGATGGGACTCACCTCCAGCTCACATCCGCCTTGTCCCCTCTGGTGGTGGAGGCAGCAGGAGATGGAGGCGAAGGAGCATTCAAACATGCTCTTTTTTTTTTTTTTTTTTTTTTTTGCTGCTTCCTCCCCCGCCTGCCCGGTCACCTCCTCCAGTGGGACTGACATAGGACTGACGAGGCTCAGCAGAAGGCAGAGGCAAACGAGCACCCTCGCATGCTCGGGCGCCTTTTCCTGCTGCCGCTGCTGGATCACCTCCTCCAGCGATTATCTTCTTAGGGCAGGGGACAAGGTGGTGACGTGAGCTGGAGGTGAGCCCTGGCAGTCCCACTGGATGAGGTGATCGGGCGGACAGTGGAGGCAGCAGCAGGAGAGATGGACGTGGAGGAGCATTTGCCCATTAACTGCTCCTTCACCTCCATCAAGGGTCAAAAATAGGGGGTCATTTTATACATTGGGGTTGTATACATGGAAAAATACGATATGTAAGTTACCTGGAGTGTCTTTTTTGGAGAAAAGCAGAGTAAAAATATTTTAAATAAATAAATAAAATTAACCAACAATTCCACTAATTTTTTCTTCTGATTTCTTGTCTGCAGTCTTCATTTAGACCAGGGGTCTGCGAACTTTTGAGCATGAGGGACACATTGTATATTTTCCACATTTTTGAGGGCCAAAGGAATGTGCACACATGGGAGTATCAGTGGCCGTCTGCACATATGCATCTGTACGGACGCCCACTTGCACACATGCACATGCACGCACACACATGCATGTGCCCCTCCTGCCTCCCTGCATGCCCACATGAATGCACACACGCACACATGGACATGTGCACAGACTGAAAGGAATGAATGGGCTAAAACAACAACACAGACCAGATGTGGCCTGAGGGCCAGTTTGGAGACCCCTGATTTAGAGTGATGACTGAAGCAAGGTATAGAAAAACCTGAATTATTTCTATTTCTTCATCACTAATATTAAAGTTATGTAATACTTCTGAAGTTACAATTTTTGTTTTTTTCCAGTCATGCTCTCAATTTGTCTGAACAAAACTGATTTTCTGAATTTGATTTTGGGTTCTGATCTTGTAGACAACATTTCTAAAATTATGCCGCCATGGTATCTCTTAATGGAAAACCCTGAAAAGGGTCACTGTAAATCAGAATTGACTTGACAACACATGATGATGATGTCTCAGATACTAAAGCTCCTGACTCAGGGTTTCTATTCTGAAGCCTTTCTCAAGACAGACCAGCAGTGTCAGTCATTCGAATACCACTTGTCACTGCAGGCTAATTTGTTTTGGTGGTTTCTCAGCCATTCAAAAGCATCCAACTTTCTAAGAGCTTTTGAAAATAATATTCTTTCAGTTTTAAAGTTGGGAGTCACCCTTTGCTGTGTCAACAAACAAGAAGTAACATTGAATTAAGAGGTTGCTATTCCCAGATGTCTGATAATATAAACACGGCTTCATCAGATTGTTCTGCCAACTAATGGAATTTCAAAAAGCACTAAGTTAAAGTGCTAACTGAATGATCATTAATAATGCAGAGATCATAAGGAAAAGTTCATGGCTTCCATTTACAGACCTGAAAAGTGGACTATGTAGTTTTAAATCTAAATTCTTTATTCTCTTCAGTTTTCAAGTGTTGTTAAAACAGATTCAGAATGATACCAATTAGGAATCTTGCCGCTTTGACAGTAGTGCTCTTTAGCACAGCTGAGTTACTGCTTTTCCAAGGTCCTTTCCCATGTGCAAGAACTTCGCATAATGTGTCTATGAAATTTTTTCTGTCCACCTTTCTATCTTGTCCTTTATATACCTGAAGAGGATCAAGTAGATGGATAATGCTCTACATAGAGTGGATGAGATACTGATAGAACTCTTCAAACTACTGAGATGAAATATATCAAAATCATAACAAGAATATGCCAGGAAGTAGGGAAATCAAAACAATAGCCTACAAACTGGAAATGTTCATATACATTTCAGTCCTCAAGAAAGGACATGCCAAAATGTTCAGCGAGTATAGGATCAATACATTAATTTCCCATGGAAGCAAAATAATGATCAAAGAATTTAAAAATATCCTAAAATATAAGGATGTGTATGGTGTGAAAGTTTGACAGTGAAGAATACCAACAGGAAAAAAAATCATTTGGAATATGGTGTTGCAGGAGATACCAATTTCTGCCAGAAAGTCAGTCCTAGATGAAATCAAGCCTGAACAAGCCTTGTAGAAGGAAACATGACTAAACTGTGGTTATTGCATTTTGGGGATATCATGAGAAGATAAGAAACACTAGAAAAGACAATGCTGGGGGAAGTTGAAGGCAACAGAAAAAGAGGAGGATCAAATATGAAATAGTTGATTGAGTTAATAAAGGTACTCACAGCCTTGCGTTTTAAGACCTACACAAGGCTGTTGATGGCAGGTCCTTCTGGAATTCACTCTTTCATAGGGTGCCATAAGCTGGAACATCAGCAACGTATAGCACAATAATCTAGTTATGCCCATGACATTTATGAATACCATGTGCTTTTCAGAATTGCCTTATTCAACAAATACCGCTTGCAACTTTAGTTATAATCTTCCTGTGTGTGTGTGTGACTTCTACTTATATTAACTACTGTTTTATTGCTGCTGCAGCTTTACTAATAAATCTGGTCATAAGTGCCCTTAATTACACAAATTTCTGTACTGCATTGGCCTGAAGTTGCAAGAAGGAAGCTTCTAATTAAATGCACAATAGACCTTGAAAAGCTTCACTAGTACTTTGTATATCCATTTAGTGCTGCAGTTACTTTTTAGGCAAGTGGAAATCAACACATGCAAAGACCTACACCTCTCAGAGGTTAAGTGGATTGCGCTTATTGAAAATACATTGAAAATGCTTGATGAAAATACACTTTGATAATCCACATGAGTTTCTCTTCCTAATTTTTATTGTAAGGTGATTTACCTTGTGCCTAATTAGAACATTAATTAAATTAGATCAGTAGCGCCTATATGGACTAGAAGCATCTCTCCAGGTGTTCATTAGGGGTTCTGTTTGGTGATGCCAGGAATCAGGGAACCTTCTGTGCTGAGGTTTTATTAATATTTCCACAAGAGCTCTGACAATCCCTCGTGGAAAGAGTCCTCCATTAAAGTCTGGCATAAGGAAAGCAAACCAGTTTTTGTTTTTCTGCTGCTTTTCCCAGCTGTTTTCTTGGATGACAGATGATTAATAGAATGTATAGAATCTGAAAGGTCATTGAAAGAGGGGGGGAAAAGCAGTATAATTGGTTGTCTTACTGACTTAGCAGCAGGAATGAGAGAAAAGTTAATAGTTAAAATTTCTCACCGAATTCTTGGGAGTTGAGCAGACAACTGTCATTAATGAATTTGGGTGCAATAAGGATCCCTTCTACTCTACATTTCTCATTAGAAGGAGTCGCAGAATGAGCCATTCTGCTCAGTGCACCAGGCTAGTAACGATTGTTCTCAAGTGACTCCCCCTCCCTGCTTTTGAAAGCTGCAGACTGTATTGATAAAACCTTCAGCAGCTGTTGACTAGACCTCTGAGGCTACTTCCTCAGTACTGAAGCTTTTCAGGGGAATCTGTCAACGCTTCTGCCACTTCCCCGGCAAGGTCAAGGAAAGTAAGTGGCAGCTTTATGAGTGTGCCAGCAGTTCCTTGCCAGCTGTTTCTTCCACTTCATTCTCACCTAAACTCTCTTAATTAAGAAGCAGAAATGTAAAGGCATTGATTTATTTTTATTTTTTTTTAAAGAAGAAAATGGGACACTGGAAGGACAACTCCAAAGTTTGATCAAGTCAGTAGACTAAGGACATAAGTTATGCGCAACGCTGACAGTAGGAGCTACGGTTTTGCTCTCTTTTTGCAATGGCAGTCAGACATCGTAGGTGAAGAAAAGTCTTGTGGGACCTGAAAGTTTCCACCTGAATAGATACATTGTGGCATAAGTTTCCATTAATTTAAGTCTTATTTCATAAGGGATGAGGAATGTATCCTCTGCATTTTCAGAGTATGTGTATAGCTGTAACTCTAGACAAAAGTCGAAATAGTGAGGCCAGAGGTGCATAAAAGTAGATTCCATCTGTGATGTCTGTGCAATTCTCAGATGCCTGTTGTGTAAGCAAAGGGAGCATTTACAACAGAAGTCCCCAATTGCGGATAACTCAGATTTCTAGCTTCACTGATTACTGTTACTGTGAATGATCTTTGTACTTTTCCTATGTATGTTTGAACTCTGCACAGTAAAGTCATAGACCTACAGAACATTTTGCATGTCATAGGTTCTTGGCCAGACTCCCCCCCCCACTAGAATCACATAGGATCTGCTACTTTGTTTAATTAATTATGTTCCAATGAATAAAAAAGTATAATTTTAATTTTTTTTTCAAGTCATAAAGCTATTTTCTGTTTTCATTACAGCAGCTCATTAACATTCTCATGTCAGATGTGTTCACGATGAAACATACTGCTGGTTTGCTGTTAAATTACAGTCATTCTCATGTCCTCTTCTGAACCTTGCGATTATTTTCACCCAGGACCTAGAAATCAGAGAACAGCCTAGGTGTAGCTTGAAGATATTCCGAACAACATGAAGCATTATGAATTTTTTTTTTAAAAAAATATCAGTTTAATTTTGGAGTGTATTTTACTGAGAAAAGAATTTGTCACATTCATGTTTTTCATTTCAATTTCTTTAGGTCCTCTCAGCAGTATTTTGGTCAATCGTTTTGGTAGCCGGCCAGTGGTCATCTTTGGAGGTCTACTATGTGGCCTGGGGATGGTTTCAGCTGCTTTCTGCACAAGCATTTTCCAGCTATACCTTTGCGCTGGATTCATTACAGGTAATAGCAAAAGGCTTCTCTGCTTTTTCTTGAGGACATGTCTAAAGAAGACTTGACCCGGAATACATAGAGGGAGGGTACTTTATATGCTGCACACAATGTAGTGCCATCTGTTTGTTGTGGTGTTCCATGCATGTGCTCTGCTTTTTTTAAATATATGCCTAGTCAGCAGTGGTGATGCTATATATCAGGGATGAGTCGCGGGACTCGCTGTCAAGTTGGACTTAAGTCACACCAGTGACCCGACTTCAGGTTTTTTCCCCAGTGACTCAGACTTGACCCACTTGGATTCCACTTACTCTCTCTCATTTTTAAGGGGGGGGGGAGCTTGTTTTTAATTGGGACTCAGACTTGGGAACTCAAGATTTGGTACCAAAGACTCAGACTGAGTACAGTGGTAGCGACGATAATCCCTTCTGGAAAAATCGTCGCTATATGGATTCGTCGCTATGCGGAACAAAAAAGCCCATAGGAATGCATTAAAACACGTTTAATGCTTTCCTATGGGCAAAAAACTAACCGTTCTGCGAAAATCCTCCATACGGCTGCCCTTTTTGCTGCTGGTAAGCGAGGAATGGGCGTGAAAACACTGCGGGTGGCCATTTTTTAAACCCGGCGGCCATTTTGGAACTGCCGATCAGCTGTTAGGAAAACATCGCTATGCGAAAATCGGTAAGCAAAACAGCTTACCGATCATCGCAAAGCGATGTTTTACCATTTAAAACATTGCAATGCGATCGCAAAAACAATCGCAGTATATATTCAGAGCATACATAAATGGTGGACATGAGCTGATTTTCATTATTCTCTGGTCAGGGGACCCTGAGATATTTTGTTCTTTGAGAAGGACTGCTGGTCTATAACAGAGAAGTCTCAGTCTTCTCCTAGAGATGGGCATGAACCTCGGTTCAGAGGTTCATGCCAGTTCATATGCGTGCCACACATTCCCTTCCCCTGCCTCCCCAGACAATGACCCACTTATCAGCTGGAACACGTCTCTCTCCTCCTCTTTGGCTGTTCAACTGGTCCCTGGCAGGAGCACAGGTTTGCCTGTCCTGCCTCCTTGTCTGAGTGGGCGTTCAGCCCAGGAGGTGTGACAGGGAAGCCTGTGCTCTTGCCAGAGACTGGCCAAACAGTCAAAGAGGATGAGAGGAGCATGTGTTGGTTGGTGGTGGTGGGGTCCAGACAGGGAGGCAGGGACAGTGAATGTGTGACACCTGTGGTGCTCTGTGTGCCAGCTGGCACAAACCTCTGAACCTAGCTTTGTGCCCATCTTTACTCTTCACTAAACAGCAATTGTTAGGATTCTCTGGGGAATACCATGGTGGTTAAACAGATGGAAGACTAACATGTAGTCTTCATGTAATGCTGTCCTGTAATGATCTGCTTAGATTTTATATTTATATGACCTGTAACCTTTTTCATTTCACCATGGCTGCACTTCTGTCGTGCAGCAGTATTTGGGGGCAAATTGCATCAAGTTAAATAAATCACTGTAGACATTATCATTGTGAGTCACACAACTCAGGATACAACTGGTAATGTCTACAATGGTTTCTTAACTCAAAACACTTCACCTCTAAAAGATATGCCATTGATGCTATGCTGTGGAACCTCATCAGAGGATTTTGGCCTATATCTCGTTGAAGAGGTCTGTGAAAACTCATGCCCCATTAACCCATTCTTCAGTAGGAACATTAAAGAGCATGTCACTGTTCAATTAAAGAAATACCACAAAGTACATTTTTCCATCTCATTATGGTTCAAATTTGGAATTTCAGCCAAAAGATAACTAATACAGCAATTCTAGGCCGATTCCCAGATCTCTAGTGTTATAAATCAGAAGGCATCACACACTCATTCTGTGTTTTTCCTTAACAGATTAATTTTTCTTATTAATAGTAACAACAGAAAAATATAGGAAGTGGTGGGAAGGCATGAGAGAGTTAGAAATGGAAGGTGTTATTTAGGCCCTCTAGAAAATTGCATCTTTGCGGGAGGCTAATTGAAGATAAAAGTCTCAACTAGACTGGTTTGTATTATCAGCAAATATTGCTGTTGCAAATGGCCATTGTGCTTTTTTGTATATATTTAAACTTTAGCTCTGTTTTTTTCTTTGCTATGTGATTACACATATATGAATGTGACATGTTAATTTTATTTATTTTTATTCTGCTTTGTGTAAATTTGCAATATACAGTATGTATGCATGGATGTGTGCATGCATACACAGGCACATACATACACTGGCCAAATTAAAGGGAAGAAAATAAAAAGGGAGAGAAAAAAAAGCAAAGAACAAATTGTTAGGATATCTTAAAGACTGCCTTTCAGGGTGAAATTTTGTAGATCAAAATCCACTTCATCAGACTCTTTTTGGATTTTGATTCATGAAAACTCTCACTGAAAAAAGAATCTGTTATGCCCCAACAGATTCTCTTTTGTTTCTACCCTTTCTCTCCATTTCACCTGTGTTTTGACCAACGTGTGAAAACAGACTAACACTCTTTGCAACAATATATGCTAAAGACATTAACAGAAGACAGTATTGAAGTAATCTGATGAACTGGCTTCTAGTTAATGAATACATACGCCATAATAAATGTTTTAGTCTAAAGCTGCTCACAGCTTGGAAAAATTACTATTTTGCATAATAAATGTTTTAGTCTAAGGTTCCACAAGCCCCTTGGTTGGTTTTGCTCACAGCTTGGAAAAATTACTATTTTGGACCGTAAATCTGAAGGATTGAGCTTCTTAACCTCTAAGGGGCTTTTATTTACTTATTTATTTTATTATTTCAATTTAATATACCACTTCCACTAGTGCCGTAGCACTCCTCTGAGCAGTTCACAGCAAAATAGATAACCCAGTAATTAATATAATAAATAATCCAATCAAATAAAAACAAGGTGCCAGAACATAAATAAAGGTATATAAAACAAAAAATGAAATCAAAATAAAGATAACAAATGACTGGATGGAAGTGTAAGATGGCCTCACTCAATTAGGGTCAGAGTGGAAGGCCTCCCTAAAGAATCTTCAATTGCCTCTTAAATACATATAGGCAGGGAGGAGGCCAGATGAAGCTCCTCTGGGATGATTCCACAAGGACAGGGCCACCGCGAAGAAGGCCGTACCTCTGGTAGAAGATTTATGAGGCCTCCTCAGGTTGGCTACCTGGAGGAGCCTCATCTGCAATGATATGGTGGGTCAGACAGTAGACATTGGGAAAATCACACTTTTACGCGATGCGATAAGGTGATTCTTCTTTTTTTGCTCTCTCTGCTTTAGGACTTGGCCTGGCGCTCAACCTCCAGCCTTCAGTGATCATCATTGGAAAGTATTTCCTGAAAAGGCGTCCGCTGGCTAATGGCCTTGCGATGGCAGGAAGCCCTGTTATGCTTTGTACGCTTGCGCCCTTGAACCAACTGCTTTTTGACAACTTTGGATGGAGAGGGAGCTTTTTCATTCTTGGGGCAATTCTACTGAACTGCTGTGTGGCAGGAGCACTCTTTAGACCTATTGGGCCCCCATCTGCTCCCACTGACAAGAAAACAAATGCCCAAGCTGTAGAGACTCTTAAAAACAAAGATATAAACATGGTTGAAATGGCTGATCTTGGCGATGGAGAGAAGGAAGACAAAGACTGCTGTGAAAATTTTAACAAGTTCCTGGATTTATCTCTTTTCAAGCACAGGGGCTTCCTGATCTACCTGATAGGGAACGTGCTCATGTTCCTAGGCTTTTTTGCTCCTATTGTCTTTCTGGCTCCTTACGCAAAGCACCTTGGAATCGATGAATATTCTGCAGCCTTCCTCCTTTCAATTCTTGCCATTGTTGATATGTTTGCTAGACCAGCTACGGGGCTCCTTGCAAACAGCAAATGGATCCGGCCCAAGATTCAGTATTTTTTCAGTTTCTCCATAGTTTTTAATGGCACCTGTCATCTCTTGTGCCCCTTAGCAACAGGCTATGCGGGGTTAGTGGTGTATTCTGCTTTTTATGGACTGGCCTTCGGTATGGTTTGTGCCATGCTATTTGAAACTCTCATGGATCTTGTCGGTGCCAGCCGCTTCACAAGTGCTGTAGGCCTGGTTACCATTGTTGAATGCTGTACCATATTACTTGGACCACCCATTGGGGGTAAGAATATTTGTTTATGTCTCCTCACTGAAAAGACCTGCAAATTTTTTTAAACTTCAAGTTGAAAAGCATTAGATGTTACAACTTAAGCCCCTGGCTTCACTTTGAATTCTGTTTTTCTGAGCCCACTTTTTGCTATTCAGTTTCCATTTCACTGAAGATTTTGAATTGTGACCTTGAAGCCTCTTAGTTCAAGAAACAAACAAACAGACAAAAAAACACTTGCCAAGAAATGTTCAGGTCTTCTGCAAACCTACTAAATATGATCTTATAGAATCCTTCAAAGGTCCTTTTTCATACTGATAATATGATCATATGTCCCACAGTTTGTTCTGGTTTGGGATGGGCTGGTTTGCTTCTTTTCTTGGCAACCACATGCAATATATGCCATTGTGAACCAGACCATTCCTGATCTATGCCTACTCACACTTTTTGGGGGGTCCCTGTCAGAGGCCTTTTTTGTTGTGGTGGTTGTGGTGCAGATAGGATCATTATATTTTGACTCAGTTCCAGCATGTGTGATTGCTGGGACTGAACCAAAGCAGTTGACTTAAATTGTTACTTTGCTTAAGCCACATGACTATGTTGGAAAATGGAAAGGAAGAGAGAGAGGAAGCAACGTTTTTTAAAAATAAAAAAAGTTTGTAAGGCAGCACTGATGTGCTAGATAGCACTTAGATTTTTTTTAAAAAAATTCAAATGCTTCCTCCTGCCCCCCCCGGGAGAAGGGGACAAGGAGGGAGATCCCCCCCCACCCGTTCCTTTAAAGAGAAGAATGGCCAAATAGGGTCACTTTGAGGTGTGTTGGGGCTTCCACTCAATTCTTGCTTGTGGGTGCAGGAATTGCCACAAATGACACACCACACCTCAAAACAACCATGTTTAGGATAGTCTCGCCCAATCCAGCCAAGGATAGTTTGGCCATTTGGTTGTGCACCCCCTGTCCCAAATCGGACAAGCATTGCTGCACCTGTGCGTCTACAGGGCTCAGATACAAGTTACAGTTAATTGCACAGTGCAAAAAGGCTTAGTTTCCTTTGCCAGAAAGATGAGTAGTTGATGTATAGATTGGCATTCAAACAAAGAAGGACAGCATAATTTATTTATTTATATCCTTATTTATATCATTATGCTTGCTGGATAGCTCAGTAATTTAGGTATTTGGGTGTGGAGCCGGAGGCTGGGAGTTTGATACCCCACTGTGCCTCCTGTGAGTAGAGCCAGCCTGTGTGGCCTTGGGCAAGCTGCACAGTCTCAGGATGCCTCCAGAAGAAGGGAAAGGTAAACTATGTTTTGTGTATTCTCTATGCAGAAAACCCTAGAAGGGGTCCCCATAAGTTATTTATAGCTTGCCTTTCTCCTAGGGAATGGATCCAAGGTGACTTACAGCAGATAAAAATGAATGCTTAAATCATAGCAACTTAACATAATACTAAAATGCAATTAAATGTAAACAATGTTAAAAACATCATTAGTTAAAAAACACCTGATAATATATATGCTGCTTCCCTCTAAAAAATCAAGTTGCATTGAAGATGGTTTCTATTGATCATTTGAATGATCAGTATTAATTGGTTGATTTTTTTTGCCATGTAACAGCTAAATTTCTTTGGGCAGTTCTCAAAACAGGGTTAAATCCAAAATTTATTTATTTATTTGTTCAACTTCTATGCCACCCATCTGGCTACAAGTCCACTCTGGGCAGTTTACACTAAAAAAATAAGACACAAAATAAAAACATCGTCAAATTACAACCATCGAACGCATAATGGAATATATGAAACAAAACTGAAACAGTTCCAAAAATCAAAGTAGGAATAACAGTCCCAAAAGCCAGGGATATATTCCTTCAGGTGAACTGGCCCCAAACTGTTAAAGGTGTAAAGTTCAGTATTGGTATTTTGAATTAAGCCTGGAAATATACTGGACGTTGTTGATGCAGATAACAAAGCGCCTGTGTAAACATACTGTCCAGTTTCAATTAGAATGCTTTCTTGTTGTTCTCCTTCTATCTCGCTGACATTTTCAGAGCATCAACAAAGGCAAATATAAGCCTTTTAAGCTGGAAAGAGGATAATGTAGCCATCGTGATACAGATGGGACCATGGCCGATATAGCAGCTTAAACTGGTAAACAGAGCTTTTAGACCAGTGGTTCCTAACCTTTTTTTGAGTCACATCATCTTTTTATAATAAAGTAACCTGCAAGCCACTCCCTCCACCATCTTCATATAAAAAGGCATTTTTAATGGAGTAAAGTTATCCTTTCTGAGAAAGTAGAGGCTTATTTTTTTCCCCAAAAGGGCCTGTTTCTCATACATACATGCATATGCGAACTTTAATATCCGGCTCCAAAAGGTCAAGGAAGAAATTATTTAACAGAGGCTACAACACATATAGGGCAACCCATGCCCCTCCAAATATGTTGTGACCCCCTTGGGGTCACAACCACGAGGTTGAGAAGTACTGTCCTAGACACAGAAGACATCTGTGCCTCAAAGTAACTGTTGTATAGAAAACCTGGGGTTCTTATAGGTATATACAGGAGGGTTTGATCTTTTGTAGGACATGCTACCCACCCCCCCGAGCAAGTTGAAAAACATTCAGTGAGCAGAATGATCAGCTAGTAAAAGAACCTCTGTCTTGTCTGGACTAGAACTTACCAGTCCCCATACAGCTTATTGCATTGCCTAGGTATTGTTTGAGAATACTCTTATTGTAAGCAGATAAAAAGGAGAGATAGAGTTCCACCTTTGTATTAGCTACACTTCAGTTTAAACCTGCAGGTGATACTAAACAGCAAGGGGAATAAGATAAGAGTTTTGTCGAAACCCATTGCATAATTGCCATGAGACCAAGCTAATACTCCCTCAGCACCACCTTCTGGAATTGATGACCTAAGTATGAGTAAAACCTCTGTAGTGCAATGTTTCTAAGCTCCAGCCCAGTCAGACTTCCAGAAGCATACATTAGTGGCATCAAAAAAGCTACTGAGAGGTTCAACATTGATATATCCTTGCTGTATGGTTTGGGGCAGGTGTGTTCTTCATTGGTATTCTTCATTGTGGTTAAATTTATCTCCAACCACTCTTCGCTTTTCCCAAAGAGTGTTTGTTCCATGAGAATTTATATTCAGAAAATTATATAGCTATGCATTTGTGGGTGTGGATTAGAGAATTGACATTTTGGCGAATTGTCCTGCTTCGTGATTCATCAAAATTGACGAAGCATGAATCTTCTCCCCATGAACCGATAAAACTCAAATTTATTTCTTGGTTCGGGATGGGGGTAGACAACTAGAGGCTGTCTTTTAAAAAAAGCTGACCCTTCTACCCCCACAGACTGCCCCCCTGCCCACTTCCCACTACCCCTGTCACATCCAGCACCACTTGCTGCAATAGCCTCCGCTGCTATGGCCTGCCTTAAGTGAATCTAGGACCACCTTTGCAAAGATGGTGGCTGCAGCTTCCCTGCCTAAGAGAAGCCTGGATTCCCTTAAGGCAGGATAAGGGAATCTGGCTGCCCTTTGCAAAGATGGCGGCTGCAACTTCCCTGTTCTAAAAGAAGCTGTAGCCGCCATCTTTGCAAAGGGTAGCCAGTGCCCCTTATGGCAGGCCTTGGCTGCGGAGGTCACCGCAGCGGGCAGCAATGGATGGTGGCAGCAGCAGGCAGCACTAGATGACAGTAGCGTTGGGCGGTGATGGATGGTGGCAGCAGCAAACATAGGGGGGAGGGGGATAAGCTGTGGGGGCAGATGGCTGTGGGGCTGGCTGGCTGCATATCGGCCTGCCAGTCAGCTGATCGGCAGGCCCATAGGCAGAATGGGAAGACCATAGGAAGAGAGGGAAGGCTAGCCTTCCTTCTTCCTAGGGGATGAATAAAAATGGGGAAATATTCATCCCTTTGTATTTGTAAGGGTCTCTGGAACTGACAAATATAAGGGACAAATATATAACAAATCAGTGATTTTTTTACAAACATCGCAATCCGTTTTTTAATTCCTCCCCATGCTTAGTGTGGATGTTTTGTGGCCCTCTTGAATTTGACTGTGCTTTTGGGTAGGATGTGCTCTCATACACAGTTGCAGCCTAAGGTTCCTTATCTTGTCATTTCTTATTCCAAGAATTCAGAATAATTTATTTGGTCACTTATATGTGAAACTATGTTGACTTCCCTTCAGTGAACAGCTCTAAGAAAATATGAAGCCTTCTGCTCTTGGAGATCTTCTGATGTTGCAACTGTTGGAATCTACATATGTTCTTACTGGGTTTTGCTCTCCTGAGATACAACAGTTCGATCAAAGGCTCATTATCTTCAATCAACAACAACAAACCTTCTGATAGCAAAATCTGCTGTCTACAAGACAGCTCTGCAGGAGCTGTGTCAATATGACAGAACTTTTGAACAGAGGGAATTTAGATGCAATATTTATTCATAATACTGTAAAAGCATTTTAGGCATTCACAGAGTTGAATGCACAAATAGTACGTTTTATTTTTGTCACTTCACTGCCCAAAGTCCCTTAATTGCTGGACTGTCTGTAATGTCAGTAACTCAAAAAATCACAAACGTAAGCTAGGATTCAATCCTGTATAAGCCTTCATCAGGCTGTGAATAATGGAGCTTTGGATGGGGCAAAACCTAAAAAGTAAAATCACAAAAGTTTCAAAACTCATGGCCAGAGGTGTGTGCCAGAGCCCTTTCTTAAATGTAAGTTTCAGAATGAGGGCTGCAGATTCCACTTCTGATGATGTTGACTGGAAGGTCTCTCCTAATCTTGCTAAATAGAGGGTTGTCTGGTACACATATCAGAATACCAGGCCACCCTTGATACAGTATGTTTATGTTTTTTTTCTCCACCATCCAGTTCTGTGGTGCCCAGCCTAATGAAGATCTGTATAGAATCAAAAACGAGCTTATACTGTAGTTGTGGTTTTTAGTGGTCTAATAAAGGTATAATCCATCTTTGCTTTTGGATTGTATACCTATGCCTCCCTTCCTCCCTGCCTTTCTGTAATTCTATTCCTGTACCCTGTTTTCCTCCAGAACCTGATAGCTTTGGAATTCAGAATTGATGGTTCGGCCCCTATAAACCATGATCAGGAGCCTTGCAAATAAGTTGCTTGGTTTCTGATGGGCTTCTCTTCTTTAATCTTGAACAGTCCGGAGCAATGGCCAAGGGCACAGGAAGAGACTTCCTCTGTGCACGAAGAGGCACAGCTCTGCATATCTTTCCATGTATGGCAATAGCAAAAATGGGTTGCACAGGAGGAGGTAAAACTAGATGACAGGGGCAGAGCAGTGGGTCTTGGGAGCAAAGCGCTCCATGCCCCTGCTGAAAACAGCTGCGACTATTTTTTCTGCCTGATGGGAATGCATGCAGGAGCTGCTGGGGTTCTAAGGGCAATGCATCCTGCTGTCTTTCTTAACGCTTCCTTGACGTCAATGTTGTCATGAATGTCAGGGATGTTCTCTGGCTTCTAAGAAACGATGTCAGTTCTTCTGAAAGAAACTGGAGCAGCCGTTTTTTGGAGCCACAAAACCTCTCACTACAGTCATGGCAAAAGTTGTCGGGAGGGCTCCCCCTGCCTGTTCTGAGAGGCAGATAGCTTCCCTTCACTTCCCCACAGTATTGTTTGCATTTTCTGCCTGATATATTTGAAGTTTCGAAAAGGAAAAGGGTCAAGCCAGGATAAAAGCCCTATTAGAATTCCTGATTTCATCACCACAGTTAGAGAGGATCACCCAGCTGGACCTCCCCCCCTTCGTTGTAGCTTTTGTTCATGCAAAATGAAAAGAAGAGGCTGCTGCTGTCCACATGGACTCTCAGTGCAGTGCTGGAAAGTCTGGGTTCTTGTGTGTAGAAGCTACACAAGAGTAGAAATCTCTCCCCCTCAGACTCCTTGCATGAACAAAACACAGAGTAACGGAAGCAGTGTCCTATAGGTGCTTACCTCTATGTTCATGAAACCAGGAATTCTAACAGCTGAAAAGGGCTCAAGACAAATAGCTAATGATTCGTCTGCTTAATAAATCTTTGGATACCCCCACTGCTGCTTTTAATGGCACTATCTTACGTAGCCCTTCCATTAGTTCAGAGTGGTTTAGCTGGATTTAAATCCTTAATTATTTGATACAAGATGATTTTCTTAGTACTAGAATAAATGGACTGTTGCATCAAGAATGTTATTCCACAGATTGGCATGTTCAGTTCTGCAATGTATATAACCAGCATTATCCCACCCCCCCTCTCTCCATGGGTTCTGTGGTTGGAATTCAGACATCAGCCAAACAATGTAATAAGATTTAATTTGATTAAACCCCATTGGCTATACAGAAACTGAAATAATTTTGGACCAGATATTACAGTCTAGGTAGTTTGGGGTTTATTAGATGATACAGTTATTAAAACAGAGATGATTAATGGCTAACACTGTAATTTATACTGAACTAAAGAAAGTAGTCTGGTAAGAACCTTACATGCAGAAATGTGAAAGATGCAAAAAATACTTGCTAATGTTTTGTTAATGCCATTTGAGAATACGTTTTGTTAGTCACTTGCCCTTATTTTCAAGAGCAAACCTTTCCCTTTTCTTATGGCCCTTTGTGTGGGAGGAACACATTATCTTCTTTTTGGCAAGAGACTATGATTGAGAATAACATATACACCGGCCATTTACTAAGATATGTGCAGTTTTACAAGACAGATTAAGCTAATTGCTGAAGTCTGATAATGAGGGCAGAAAGTGATGCGTAATAGTTTACAATATGCCTTTTACACTGTTCTTCCCCATTTTAATAAGAAGGGAATTGATTGGTTCTTTGGCATTTAATAACCCACTACTGGGTTTTGCTTTAATGAACTAAGTAATTTTTTCTGTTAAGTTTTATGGCTTTCTCTTATTCGCAATAGGAGTTGTGGCTAGAGTCTTTTACTGTTGAATTTTCCAATACTTTCCTCATTAAAATTCCCAGAGAAATGTGTTAAGCAGACCTCCAGGTCATCCTGATTAGCAGAAAGTGAGAACTGCTGCAATTAGCCTCAGGTTGATGTTTCGTTAATAGCATTGCATTAACAAAATTCATGAGCATAAGTATGCAAGGTTGATCTTAGAAGTAATATTTTTCAGGTGGATCATGTGAAAGGATATTTTTGCCTTAAGGTGTGACAGTATCCTCCCTGGTACAAAATTTCTAGTTCATGTGAAAACAATGGAATAAATAATCACCACAGTTCCAGTAGATTATTATTGTGTGGCTTTCAAAGACATTTTGTTGCAAGGAGAAGAAGATAATTCTAGAACACATTGTTGATGTGAATTAGAAAATAAATAGAAGATTTTACCAAAAATATTTATTTATTTATTTATTTATTCATTCATTCACTCATTCATTCATTCATTCATTCATTCATTCAGTCATTCAGTCATTCATTCATTCAATTTGTACTCTCCCCATCTAGTGTTTAAGCACTACTCTGGATGGTTGACAGCACAACTACCCACCCTGGCCCACAAAGACATAAATAATGAAATCCAGATCAAAACATTAATAACCCAAAATGTCAAATAAACCTAGATGGTTAATCAAAATACAGACACAGAATTAGTTTAAGGTTTTGCAAATGACCATCGGATACAGAGTGATCACCTTGTATGACTGAGTGCATAAGATAAGCCTTACTATGTGTGGCACAAACTTTGATGCTGTTTTATGTAAAGTTGTGTAATTTAATTGATCAACTGTTGTTCACTTTTTGAATTACCTGGTACTATTTTAAATACCAATATAATAGATTTGTTTTTCTGTTAACTGTCTAAAACTCACAGCAGTAGGACTGCTTTGATATGGTAGCCGCCCTGTTACTAAGTTCTGTTTTCTCTTTCTGTGTTGATAGGAACTCTTATTGATGTATTTGGAGACTACAAATATATGTTCATTAAATGTGGCTCCGTAATGGTCTTGGCTGGGACATTCCTCTTTATTATGAATTACTACAATTACCGGATGCTTGCGAAAGAAGAGAAGGCAAGGGGAAAACATGAAAAAGTAGAAGAGAGGGACGACGGACCCATAAGGACACACACAAATCCTAAGAAAGGAGAAACCACAAAACTGGATGAGAAGCAAGATGGTCATGAAACATTCCCTCTAAAAAGTGAAGAGGAAGGACTGAAGAATGGAGCAAACATCACAAGTGAAGCCTAAATCTATGTTGCAAGATCTTCTGAATGGGGAAATGTTCTTCTTCTTTTTTTTTTAGGTGATTAAAACTATATGGAATGAACTTTCCATTGTGCCTTTTTATATACTATATTGTCCCTGTCCTTGAAAAGTTTAGGAATACACAAGCCCAGTTCTGTATGAACCCATATTCTGGGCAGTGCTTGCTCATACACATCCACAGATCTGTGTAAACTTATTTTGACTATGGAGGAGGTAACACCACCCTTCTGCAGCATCTGTTAGAGAAAGGTTGTAGTTCACTGGGAAAGCATATGCTTCATGTGCAGATGGTTCCAGGTTACTCGCCAATCCAGTAAATCAGGTCCCAGGAGCATGGCCTGGGAGAGGTTTGCGTCTGAGACCCCCTGATAAACACATTGACTGAAATTCAATAGTAAGTCACAAATAGAGTAGGCCCATTCAGTCAGTGGAGATTTGGTGAGTCTAGTGTTGGGCAAGTTACATGGATTCAATGGGCCTACTCTAGTTGCAATTTGCTACTGGATTTTAGCCAATAGTTGTTACATACACCTTACACCACTGGTGTGGCTTTGGATAAGGGAGGTTCATATTCTTTCATCTCTTTTCATAGTTTACCGCATTTAGCACAAACTGTGTGGCTGGGCTGACCATGAATGCTACGGGTTGGTGTTGGTTTTGCACATTGAATGAGACATACCCTAAGATAAGAGAGATATCGAAGAGGCGAATTTTCACTGTTGACATATCTTTTTGGGGAAATAATTGCTTGACATTGGGACAACGCAATGGGTCCTTTGTTTTTAAGAGAAATATACAGTGGTACCTCAATTTACGAACGTCTCTACAGTGGCACCCCACATAGCGACGTTAATCCGTTCCAGGAAAAATCACTATATGGAAAGTAAAACCCCATAGGAACGCATTAAACTATGGGGGAAAACTCACCGGTAAGTGAAGATTCCCCATCCGGCTGATGGGCGGGCTTTTGGGAAGGAGCTCCGGGGAGGGCTCCCCCGCGCTCCTTCCGAAGTGCCCACGGCTTTTTCGGCCAGCTGACGGGCGGGCTCAGCTTTTTTTGGCCCGCTGACGGGCTCCTTCCAAAGTGTCTGTGGCTTTTTTGGCCAGCTGACGGGCGGGCTCTTGGGAAGGAGCGCCAGGGAGGGCTCCCCTGCACTCCTTCCGAAGCGCCTGCGGCTTTTTCGGCCAGCTGATGGGCGGACTCTTGTCCTTCCGAAGCCCCCGCCGGTCAGCTGGGGGAAAATGGGACCTACGGGGAACATCGCAATGCAATCACAAAATCTGCATCGCTGTGTGGATTCGCCATTAAACGGGGCGCCCATTAAGCGAGGCACCACTGTACTTGTGAACGATTCGAGTTATGCAAAAAGTTGCTTCGACTTGTGAATGGAGCCTCAACTTATGTACAACCCCCCCCCCCCCGAAAAAGCCCTTTCCTGCCCTTTTTTTGACCTAAGTTCATCTTAGGTCAAAAGAAGAAAAAATTAAAAAAAATATCCCCGTAGTGGTAGAGTACGGATTAACAGGCTTTGCATTCGTTCCTATGGGAACGAATTCCACTACCTATGAACAGCGCCTTGACATACGAACGAAAAACAGCAGCTGCAGATTAAATGGTTTTCAATGCATTCCTATGGAAAAGTTTGCCTCGATTTATGAACTTTTCGACGTACAAACGCCGTTCCAATATGGATTAAGTTCGTAAGTCGAGGTACCACTGTACAGCTAAGCCCGGAAGAGCTTACTATAACAAAATGTGTCCAAGAAATAACATACGATTACAATTGCCAAGTTGTACCATCCTATTCAGTTTCTATTGACTCTTTTCAAGTGGGACTGTACAGCTTGCCCATCCATGGCCACATAGGCTGGCTCTTCTGCAATGCATAGTAGGGGACTGAAGTCCCAACTCCTTTCTCAATAGTCAGCTATCTAGCCAGCTTTTTTGATCTTATACTAAACATTAAAAAAAAACAACCCAGATTAAAATTAATCCATTTAATGATCAAGATCCATTTCCCCCTGTTGTCTGCCTTCTAAGGGAGCTGTGGTTTCTATTCAGAGACAGAGGCAGAGCTGGAAAACTACCAAGTTGGTTTTCATATTCTTTTTCTCTCCAAAGGCTTTCTGCAAGTCTTCTTTGAAGGCAATCCCTTTTAATGCTTTTATGCTGTCACACATGATCACTGCAGCTCCCAAAGGAGGAGAAAAAAAACTGCCTTGGCATGTAATATGTATTTAAGCCTGGAGGCAAATATCCTGTTGAGATCTTGATTCCCCATTGAGCCTCCTTGATGGACTGGACTTGATGACCCAATAGGCCTCTTCCAGTTCTGCAGTTCTAAAATGATGATGATGAGTAAATATTGAGCAGGATACTGGTCTGAGTATAGTTCAAAGCCACTAGAATGAAACTTCATTTATTTAAAAGCGGATTTTAAGTGAAAGGACATATACAATTCATCACAGCTCTAATCCACATTGCTACCTCTAAATTTATTTTCTCTGTACTTCATAGTTACGTTGGTATTATAAATATGTACTGTGCTATCTGGCAAAACTATCTAAGCATGCGGATGCTCCCGTTTTTAATAAAAAAGGCACCATATTAAGGCTGTTTCTCTAAGACGCATGGCAGGAAGATTTGCAAAATGACACAGCAAATTACACATGTGACTTGATCTCAAAGTCTGGAAGTCAGCAACTGTCGCTCTGTCTTGAGAGATTAATTAACCCCATTCAAGATTAGGATTAATCAGAATATTGTGAGGAGAGAGATCAGACTAGCTTCCTTTCCCTACAACCCTTCACATAGAGAGCAACAGCCTTAAAGGACAGCTTCTTCATGTAGTCCAGAACATTGAAAAATTGGGAAAGGAGAGAGATCAGACTAGCTTCCTTCCCCTACAACTCTTCACATGGAGAGCAACAGCCTTAAAGGACAGTTTCTTCTAGGAATTGAGCTTCTCCATGTAGTCCAGAACATTGAAAAATTGGGATTCCTACTTCTGCAGAAAGGAGAATATGATCCTCTTGAAACTATCATTCTTTTCCTTGCCCGTTCCTTTGCTTTTTTATTTATTTATTTATTTGATTTATATCTGGCCTGCTGGACCACTCTAGGCGGCTTCCAGTATAAAATCAGACAATAAAAACATAGGCAAATACATAGTAATCGAACAACAACAACAGTAAAATAAAGAAGAAAAAGAAAGAGAAATCAAGAATTGGCTTTTACAGAAGTTAAGTCTCGTGCTATGACTTGATGAAATGCTTAAGCTTTAGTTTATGAGACAATGTCATCTGCTGATTTGTGAATATCAAGTTGCTATCAAAGGCACTAAGGCCAGAAAAGAACAGCACAACTTTAATGTTGACAAAGAAATTGAAATGGTTGAAGATTTTGTATATCTTGATTCAGTAATCATTCCAAAGGGAGACTGCACCCAAGAAATCAGAAGAAGATGAAGATTCAGAAGGGCAGCAATGAACAAATTAGAGAAGATAATCAAATGTAAGGATCTATCAAGACCAAAATCATTCACACTCTTGTCCTTCTGATCGCCATGTATGGATATGAAAACTGGATCGTAAAAGAAAGTTGACGGGGAAAAACTGATCTGTTTGAAATATGGTGCTGGATGACTTTGCCAGAAAGATGAACAAATGGGTCTTAGAGAAAATCAAGTCTGAACTTTCTCAGGAGGCAAGATTAATGAAAATGATGCTTACATATCTTGGGCACATCATGAGAAGACAAGATTCACTGGAAGAAAACAATGAGAGGAAAAGGTGAGAGCAAAAGAAAAAGAGAAAGACCAGATATGAGATAGATTGACTATGGGAAGGAGTGACAGTTGAATATTGTTATGAAGAAGATTTAAAGAAGAATGAAAGTGGTTATTGTTCAGGCTGGGTAATATATTAGAAGTATAAGAATGAAGAATTGAATCAGCTATGGGAGAAGAAATAAATTCTAGTGCCTGGAAAGTATGTCAAATACTAGAATATTGCAAACTATGTCAATAATGGTAAAAAAATTATAAATAGATTTGGAAGTAGTATGTAACTACAGTGAAACATAAACAAATTGATGCTAATTATTCTAATTGTGGAAAGAGAGTATGTAGGTAATTATTTGCATATGTGGTGGGAATGTGAGTATGTATTGAATTTTTTTTGTTAGAGAACCTAACTATTTGCATGCAGCCTGACACTGGGAATCGTGGACAGCAAATTGAAACCAAGATCAACTCAGAATATGGGCCCCAAATATGTTACACGTGTAAGATGTTTCCAAAGGTTTCTTTGAACAGTGTGGTTTTAATCTGTTTTCAGAAGGGCAACAGGGAGGGGGCCTGGTGTGTATCTATGGGTAACTCATTCCATAGCATTGTGGCCACCACCGAGAAGGCACAGTTTCTGGTGGTAGTTTTCTGAACCTCTCTTAGGGTGGCCACCTGCAAACATGCCATCTGGCTGGTCTGGGTAGCCCAGGTGGACAATCTTAGGGTGAGGTTATCAGGTAACAAGGTACCAAACTGTTAAGGGCTTTATAAGTTAAAACGACCACTTTGAATTTGGCACGGAAGTATACAAGAAGCTAGTGCAGGCATGCCAGGATCAGCATTCCCAAGACGAACTTGGCCACTGCATTTTGCACATGGTGAAGCTTCTGTATTACCTTCAAAGGCTTGAGGCAAGCCCTCACCATTTCTTCCTGAACTTGGCCACTGCATTTTGCACATGCAGAAGCTTCGGTATTACCTTCAAAGGCAGCCTTTGTTGTTTTTTCTGGGCTTGAGGCAAGCCCTCACCATTTCTTCCTCTCTGTTTGCTTTTGGTTGTTGTTGTTTTTTTGCTCTGTCTTTTCTTCTCTGACTTTCAACCAGAGCAGATGTGCAGTCACTGCTTCCTTGCCTTCAGACCATGCAGTCACATGGATTTCTCCCATTTCCAGATGGCTGAGAGATCCACCACCTTTTTATTGTTTTACTCTTCTGATTGTAACTGAAGATCAACTATAAGTAAATATGTTTTTTTTCTTTTTCTACTTAAGCT